ATACCCGGAAGTGACCTGCAATACACTAAAAAGGTGATGTAAATATAACCCCTGTCAGGACCGCTGTATCGTAGATAGACTCACCGTGTAATGTAGATTTGATTTTTCATTGAATTGGCTTTCCTTTAATACCAACCAACCATTTATAAACTTGTTAATAAAATCGTTTACAGTCAAAATGTAAAAAGTGATTCGGAATACTCTAAATGAACCCGTTATAAAAACAACTCATTATCAACTCAGTGGACCGATAATTTACTTCAAAATAAGCTATAGATCAATAAAATTGATTTCAGATTAACCAATATTTTGTTGCAAAGATAATGTAAAACAGAGACCGGGGATTTTGTATTTCTCTGTATTTTAAACACTCGATATGCGTACATTTGGGCCGCTCTTGCATATACATGTACACTTGTACATTCGAATTCATGATCGTGCTTATAAAAAGAGCATGTTCTGTACTTGCATGTATGTATGTATGTATGTATCCGTAAAACTTTTCGATTTTCCCGAGAATTCATCCTCACAATGTCAATTAAGGTTCCGAAATACCTTGACATTGTGAGGATGCCGAGAATTGAAAAAGTCACCTTCACTTACAATTATCATGCATGTGTACATGTAGTTTAAAACACGAGACAGAAAAATAAATTGTTGCAAACTTAATGGTAAAGTCGGCAATTAAAATGCGTAAAACTTGAAATGAATAAATGCACGGGTGGTAAGGATTGATAAAAATAAGTGTGAGGTAGAGTAAAATAAAATAATATGTAAGATTCGAAATGATTTCAAACCCAATTTTCCATTAATCACTATGAGTACACAATATATTTTAACACCGATATGACCCCGGCTCTCTGCGGCCACGTGTGCACGAAGACTGGGTTACAAAGCGACAGAGCAGAATGTAAACTGTGCTGTAAGAAGGCGTGAATTATTGTATGTTTAAAAGTATTATTTGATGTATATAGTTTAATATTTAATGAAAAATTAAATGAAGAAACAATTAAGAGACTGATAGTAAAAATTATACTTTACACAAGTATTAATACTTAATACTTCCATCACTAATTGCAATTATTTGCCTTAGCACCTTTTCAATTACAATTGAAATAGAATACAATTACACGGGACAGAGAAATAAATTGTTTGTTTTGTTTTTTTTTAAAAAATCGTATTGCTGTGTCGACAGTGAACAGGCCGGTAAAAGTGATTAAAATTCGAAATGATTTTATGCACTAGTGTTTGAAATTAAGATTAAATCAAAGATGCAATTACACGGGACAGAGAAATAAATTGTTTGTTTTTTTGTTTTTTTTTGTATTTTTTTAAAAATCGTATTGCTGTGTCGACAGTGAACAGACCGGTAAAAGTGATTAAAATTCGAAATGATTTTATGCACTAGTGTTTGAAATTAAGATTAAATCAAAGATGAGATTAAGTTATCTTAAAGATTCAATATAAATAAAAAAAAACACAATGTTTCATTAGTCGTTGTTTCTACACGATGGATTTAAAACGTGATCACAGTCTTCACAGATATTTGTTTTGTTTACATGGTTTATGACCACAGGTGGCTAGCTGGTCGATGGTGACCTCGGCAACGTGGGATCGCGGGTTGTGTTACATAACTAAAAACATCTAGGTGAACATGGAGAACATAAAATGCGTACAGTTAATGATCATTAATTATTCGATGCTTAAAGTTTAATATTACTTACATAGTTATATAGATACATTTAATTCCTTCCTTTATTTGAAGACGTTGTTCCCTTTAAAACTAAATTAAAAAAGAAAAGAAAGTTGTAAAAAATAATTTATAAATGAACCACAGAACACGTTTAAAACCTTATTTAGAAGAAAATTAACATTAAATACAGTAGGGTATATTATTTATAGCAAGTTTGTTTAAGTTATACACATGAAGAGTTCTGATTTACTTGCCGATTGAAAACGCTTACCTGTTTACGGGACCTGCTTTTTACCTACATATTACGACATATTACGCAATACTCGAACAAAACAACATTTTTATGAGATCAATAATGTGTTAAAGAGCAACTTTAATTCCGAAAGCCATATCGAAATATTTACCGTTTTTGAGTTATAAAGCGAAAACTTTCAAGGGCTCTAGTTCCCTAATTTTAGGGGCCAGCCCCTTTTAAATGATATCAAATGAAAGCTCTTGGAATTATGCACAACTTTTATTCTACATGTTTTAACAAATTATTTTTAGTTTTAAAGATATAAAGGAAAATATGTCAAATTTTTGCTCTTTTCCGCGTTCTAACTTTTGACCCCTCTCTTACACGTTCAAAATACTTTGAACATTAATCGCTCATCCAGACACACATAGATTATTAGTCGCTCTTTGGGGACATTCGGGATAATCCTGCCAAGGAGACATTTTAAATTCCCGATGGATATATTCACCAAAGACGCTCTTAACCTATATATATATTGTAATATTCATTAAATCATAGTCTCCATATTCTCTGTATAGAAAAACAGGCAACATAATTGATACGAGTTCCTCCGAAAAATATTGACGGTCATTTAATTCAGGTATAGTACAAAATATCTGTGAAATCAATTTTAACTCATCTCTTCTAAAACACGCCAGAAAAAATGACTAAAGGAGATGGGCGAACATAGCGTGCAGAAAGCCTATAGCTTCAGAAATATAAAAATCATGTTCAGTTTGTGAATTTAATATTTTGAGTAAAGTTCTCATTATTGAAGTTTATGAAATTGCGATAAACAAAACTTTTCTGAGGAAAATTTTCTCAGCAAAATTTATTCTTTTATTAAAAAAATTCATGTGGTATTCGTGGGGTTCGAACCCTAGCAATAAAAATCCTGAGTATCATTTTCTTTCGAGACTAGCACGCTAACCACTAGACTACACAAGTCCTGACGAACAGTGGCATTTAAATCATGTTTGTGATATGACCCTCGACTTAATGGACTTCAAGTATTTCTCGAAAAGATGCGAATGTTATGTCATAAAAGTATATTTTTAAGGTATAGTGGGTCATTGCTCCATATTTTTGGTAACCAAAAAATGTATATTTTTATGCAAACTTTGAGGATTAAGTTTCAACAAGAGGCCCAGGGGCCACATTGCTCACCTGAGCACTGTGGCTAGGAAAAGAAGAAAAATCAGTATAGTATTGAAAAGCTTAAATGCATAAGTGGTCCCAACCTACCCCTAAAAGGGAGTGGGGGGGTATGATTTGAACAAAATTAAATCTACACTAACTAAGGATGCTTACATGATTTTTTGACTAACTGTGACTTTTTTCTCTACAAGTTTGAACTTTCATTGTGGCCCCAACCTACCCCTGGAGGTCATGATTTGAACAAACTTGAATCTACACCAACTGAGGATGCTTCCATATAAATATTACCAATCATAGCTTTGCTGTTCTTGAGAACAAGATTTTTGAAGATTTTTCCTATATATTCCTATGTAAAACTTTGATGGTCCATTGTGGCCCCACCCTACCCACGGGGGTCATGATTTGAACAAACTTGAATCTACACCACCTGAGGGTGCTTCCAAATAAATATGACGAATCATAAGTTTGCTGTTCTTGAGAAGAAGATTTTTCCTACATACTCCTATGTTAAACTTTAGTCTTCCATTGTGGCCCCACCCTACTCCCGAGGGTCATGATTTGAACAAACTTGAACCCACATCACCTGAGGATACTTCCATATAAATATTACCAATCATAGCTTTGCTGTTCTTGAGAAGAAGATTTTTCCTATATACTCCTATGTTAAACTTTAATCTTCCATTGTGGCCCCACCCTACCCCCAGGGGTCATGATTTGAACAAACTTGAACCCACATCACCTAAGGATGCTTCCATATAAATATTACCAATCATAGCTTTGCTGTTCTTGAGAAGAAGATTTTTGAAGATTTTTCCTTTATACACCTATGTTAAACTTTGATCGTCCATTGTGGCCCCACCCTACCCACGGGGGTCATGATTTGAACAAACTTGAATCTAGACCACCTGAGGATGCTTCCATATAAATTTGACCAATCATAGCTTTGCTGTTCTTGAGAAGAAGATTTTTGAAGATTTTTCCTATATATCCCTAAGTAAAACTTTGATTGTCCATTATGGCCCCACCCTACCCCCCTGGGTCATGATTTGAACAAACTTGAATCTACACTACCTGAAAATAATTCCACATGAGTTTCATCTTTCCTGGTCCATTGGTTCTTGAGAAGAAGACTTTTCAATAAAGCCATTAATTTTTTGCCATTTCGTAATGATCTCCCCTTGGAGGAGGGTGTGGCCCTTCATTTGAACAAACTTGAATCCCCTTCACCCAAGGATACTTTGTGCCAAGTTTGATTGAAATTGGCCCAGTAGTTCTGGAGAAGAAGATGAAAAGGTGAAAAGTTTACGACAACAACAACGACGACGCCGACAACAGACAACGGACAACTTTCAATCAGAAAAGCTCACTTGAGCCTTCGGCTCAGGTGAGCTAAAAAGGTGGAGCGAAGACCCACTCATATCGAAAAATAGTGTTATAGTATGAGAAAATGACTCTTTTTGCCCGTTTTAGTGTGTGTCTAATATTTCACAGGCAAATAATTTCAATCTTTGAGGGATTTTTGCAAATTGTAGAGATTTTACATAAAGTATATTTTGATGTTAGAGGAAATATCAAGGAAAATTTTGACATAATTTTTCATCTTGATGTTTGTCACACTATAGGCTTATCGCTCGTCATGTTCACCCATCTCCTTACTCTAATGTTAAAAATCAATTACCTTTGGTATTATTAAGATTATTCATTGATCAATTACACCTACCAGTGACCATTGGCATATTTTTGTGATTAATGAATATTAAAAACATGAAAAGAAAATTAAAAATATTGTATTTTATTACAAAACACTTTAAAATACACTGTTTTGCTCTGTTAGAGCTCATCAGGCCGCCTAGCAGACCACGACAGTGTTTTTTTTTTGTTGGGGGGGGGGGGGGGTCTTTTTGACACAAACTTTCACTATTTACACTTTTGTTAAAGCTGACGTCTTTTTTATTTCGACAATGTTTTGCTGAGCCATTTTCCTTTGGAAACTTTCTTGATACCTGGACAAACACCACCAAATGTTTTCCCATAGACTTCCATACTAATTCCAATCACTGTTACTTATTTATATAATCAATATTCAAAAAATCAGTCACTGTGAAGCAAAGTTTAACATCTCTTCTTCAAAATTCCACCACGAAAAATGTATCATGCCGTTGCATTTTTCCTTTAAATTTTGGCCTGTTTACAACTGGTATAGATCCGCACTGAATGAAATTTTCCAGCAAAATATCACCCCTCATCTCAAGTCTTCCTTTATAAGTCCTATATCTTTTTATACATTCTGTTAAGTCACATCTCATTTTTATCACTTATATTTCACTGTCAAATTCAACAACAAAGATTTTCTGTTAATGACCAATCAGGACTCCTGTCAGCTTTTCTTCTCCGCACAACTTTGGGTGTCGGCAGCCCCTGTACATAGGCAATTCTGGTGTTTTTCCTATAACCAAATGGATAACAAAGTAAAAAAGTGGCCAATTTGACATTTTTAGATAACATGTATATTGTACATTTAAAATATGTAACATGAAGAAATTACATGTAAAAACATGTTAATTATGACTATCTATTTAATTTAACCCCCTACACAGAATGAACGCAACTGTGATATGAAGATGTATTGAAAGTGAACTTCATATTGACATTTTACAGTGATTATTGAAATAAAATATGAAATTAACTGACTAACAGTGTTATTTCTTATGTTTTCAAGAGGATTTGAGGGATTACATGTAATTTTCACATTCAGGGTATATTGTACTCGGTTTTAAAAAAAACTAGCCAAAAAAAAAAATCAAATTATTGAGAAACAAGAGGCCCATGGGCCACATCGCTCACCTGAGCACATTGGCTAGGCAAAAGTACAAATCAGTTCAGCATTGAAAAGATTACCTTGGGGTGGGGTGGGGGGAGGGGGCTTGAATTTTAAACTACCTGTACCTTCCATGTCAGTTTAACAAATGGCTTTGTTGTACTTGAAAAGATTTTTTAAAAATTTTCCCATATATTCCTTTGTAAAAATTTGATCCCCCATTGTGACTCCTCCCTATCCCAGGGGTCATCATTTGACCAAACTTGAATGCACACTACCTGAGGATGCTTCCATATCAATATGACTAAACATTGTTTTTCTGTTCTTGAGAAGAAATATTTTTTCTACATGTATATGTTCTTATGTAAAATTTTCGATCCCCCATTGGGCCCTACCCTACCCCTGCAAAGGCGGATCCAGGGCTGCATGCCAGGCGTGCACCCCCCGTTTTCATTTTTTTTTATGTAGAACTTATATGTCCATTATCCTTAAATCAAAGAAAAAACATCTCTTCTTTGTAAGAATTCATCAGCTTCCCGGACCCTCACCAGGGCCTTGCTCAAGACCCACTGGGGGCTTCAATGCAGCCCCCAGACCCAATGCCTCTACTGCCCCCCTTTACAAAATTCCTGGATACACCACTGCCCCTGGGTTCATCATTTGAACAAAATTGAATTTACACTACCTGAGGATGCTTTCATATCAAAATGACTAACCATGATTTTCAGTTCTTGATAAGAAGATATTTTCCTATATGTTCCTATGTAAAATTTTCAATCCCCCATTCGGCCCCACCCTACCCCTGGGGGTCATCATTTGAACAAAATTGAATTTTTACTATACCTGAGGATGCTTCCATATCAAAATGACTCAACATGACTTTGCAGTTCTTCAGAAGAAGATATTTTCCTAAATATTTCTATTTAAGACTTTGATCCTCCATTGTGGCCCCACCCTACCCCCAGGGGTCATGATTTGAACAAAATACAATCTACACTACCTTAGAATGCTTCCACATAAATATGATCAATCAGGGCTTTGCTGTTCTTGAGATTTTGAAAAAAATTTCCTGTATATTTCTATGTAAAACTTTGATCCTCCATTGTGGCCCAACCCTACCCCTGGGGGTCATAATTTGAATAAATTTGAATCTACACTACTTGAGGATGCTTCCATATAAACATGACCAAACAGGGCTTTCCTGTTCCTGAGAAGAAGATTTTTTAAACTTAAGATTTTTCCTACATATTTCAATGTAAAACTTTGATAGTCCATTGTGGCCTCGCCCTTCCCCTGGGGGTCATGATTTGAACAAATTTGAATCTACACTACCTGAGGATGCTTCCATATAAATATGACGTGTCATGGCTTTGCTGTTCTTGAGAAGAAGATTTTTAAAGATTTTTTCCTATATATTGCTATGTAAAACTTTGATCCTCCATTGTGGCCCCACCCTATCCCCCGGGGGTCATGATTTGAACAAATTTGAATCTACACTACCTGAGGATGCTTCCATATAAATATGACTCATCATGGCTTTGCTGTTCTTTAGAAGAAGATTTTTAAAGGTTTTTCCTATATATTTCTATGTAAAACTTTGATCCTCCATTGTGGCCCCACCCTACCCCCAGGGGTCATGATTTGAACAAACTTAAATCTACACTACTAGAGGATGCTTCCATATAAATATGACTCATCATGGCTTTGCTGTTCTTGAGAAGAAGATTTTTAAAGGTTTTTCCTATATATTTCTATGTAAAACTTTGATCTACCATTGTGGCCCTGCCCTACTGCCGGGGGTCATGATTTGAAGAAACTTGAATCTACACTACCTGAGGATGCTTCCGCATGAGTTCCATCTTCCTGGCCCTGTGGTTCTTAAGAAGAAGATTTTTAAAAGATGCTATTAATTTTTCACAAATTCTCTATTATCTCCCCTTGAAAGAGGGCGTGGCTCTTCATTTGAACAAACTTGAATCTCCTTTACCCATGGATGCTTTGTGGCAAGTTTGGTTGAAATTGGCCCAGTAGTTCTGGAGAAGAAAATAAAAATTTGAAAAGTTTACGACAACGCCAACAACAACGCCAACGACGACGACAGACAACGGACAAATTTCGATCAGAAAATCTCACTTGAGCCTTCGGCTCAGGTGAGCTAAAAATGTTTTTAATATGTATTTAATTTTACAAATCAAAATGAAATCACTAAGCAGCTGACAGCCAATTAAGAGGAGGTTATCAAAAGAGATGAGAGGTAATTTGATCTAGTAGTGTTGTTTCTCTGTAGCAGTAAAACTGTCATTACCCCCTTCAATACACCTACATTTTGCAGCAAGGGTTGCTGGCTAATTCCTTTATTGCACGATAACACCTTAACTTGACATGATGCTGACAGAGCAATGGAAAAAGCACATCACAAGTGAATTTCACTTTAGACACAGTATCCGTAGTAAAATTTTCAGTCAGGTTTCAAAGATGGGAAAATTCAAAAAAGGGAATAATTAAGGTTTTAAACCCAAATATGTGCCTCACAACAAGGGAAAATTACTTCATAAAGAAGAAGAAAACTCACCTGCACCATTCACAAGAGTAGACTGGGAAACCCTGGAACTGGTGAGGCATCCACCCTCTGTGTGTGAGGAACAGGAAATGATGCTGTGACCCCTGCAGCCAAGACCCCTGAAAAAAGAAAGAGAATCCTGAGGTTTTGATGCAGGCCGAATCCTTGGGTTAATAACTACAGTTCTTTAAAATTTAATAAATAATGAAATTAAACCTCTATAATTAGTAAATAATTTTTCTAATTGTTAGAAAAGGCCCATATAAGGCCAATTTGCCTGAAATAAGGGGTATACTTAAGATCCTGTCAAATTAATCAGCTTAATTAACTCATAATTAATTAATTCTCTAAATTATAGTAACATTCTTAAAATTGATCATTTCTTTGAGGGAAAAAAGTTACAAAACCAGTTTCTATAGACTGTGGTGAGTCTTTTGTCTCAATTCTGAAAACAAGTATAGTCTAAGGGGAGTAACTCTAATTTCTGAAAATGAACTTACCTGGATAGGAAGTGATTAGATATAAAACTGGTTTTGGCAGGTGTGATACAGACTCCCACAGACTGCTCCATCTTCAAAAGACAAGTGGGATGTTCAATACAGCCTTCAAAGAACATGGGCGGACCAGTCCAGGATGTGATGGCAACCTGACCTGGGACATGGACTCTAAGGAGAGGCGTGGCCTGGGTACTCGACTACGGCTGAAATGCAGCAGGTGCCCTTACATTTCAGAAATGCAGAACCTCTATGTGGAAGTGCAATCCAAATCTAGGGGAAGGAAAGCAGCAACAATAAACTATGTCCTACAAGTAGGTCTAAGTCAAACCCCCATTGGCAGTTCATCAAAATTTTTATGGCCACCAACACTCCGCCTCCGGCCGAGTCTTCACTACAAAAAACAAGTAACACCGTCATGCAAAAAGTGGTTACCCTAAATAAGTGTGATATGAAAAAAGATGTAAGAAATTAGTTCATATTAATAAATTGCGGGGGGGCCCAAACCCAAACAACATAGGAATTCAGTGTGATGGGATGTATAATAACTCCCTCTACTCCGGGGTGGGGGAAACTCCCTTCCAGCCTGCTACACAGACCGTCTTCTCAATTGCAGAAGATGTGACCAGTAGTCACGAGATAATAACTTTAGTGACCAAAAACAAAATATGACCTTAGCGACAGCACCTCAAGAACAATCCAGCCATGTGCGCACTGAGCAAACATGTGGAGCAAATATACCCATGACCAAAAACATTGGTGACGAATTCACCTGGGCCAAAGAGAGCATGGAAGACCTTCTCGAGAATGATTTAAATGTCAAGGACATTAAGTCAGACCCTGACAGTACAATATTCAGGGCCGCAGAGTCTTTGTATGCCGAGCAAACTATCAGACGAACCGCGACATTTTGTCGACACTCGGCATCTTGCTGAAAATGTCAGAAAGGCCATCAAGAAAGATGAATCTTTACAGAAAATTATGCCCAAAAATACTAAAGCTGAAAGAATCAAACTGCTACATAACTTTGCTATAGATTTTACAGACAGATGCACTGGTAAAATAAATCAGGCACAAATAAAATGCACAGGTCATGCAAGCAAAATTAAGAAGCAACTCTCCTATGTGAGTGATGCTATAATTTGCTGCTACATGGGTGAACATGCCTTATGCAAATGAGGGAAAATGTGAGCAAGCTCACATGCCCCACGCTCCCCCAAAACTCGATAATGCAACATGTAATGAATGGCACAGTGCATTTTAAATACACAGTATAATTCAAAAAGGGGCATTACTTGCAAAAAATCATCACATCAAAACTTCTAGCATATAAGGACATTCAAATCTTTGTATGTTACAAATTTAATTGGGCTGAACTTTCTAGATAAATAATGGAATCAAAATTTCTTGGTAATATACAAATCTATACATTATGTCTGAAATACCTACAAAGTTTCAGGAAGTTCAGTGCAGGAGTTATGCTGACAAACTGTTATTTAAATTCCTCAGTGATTTCGATTTGTTAATGAGTGTAAGTCCATGTCCAACACATGACAATTTACACATTTAAGTAATTGATGGAAAAAAAATTATGATGTAGTCATATGAATTATTTTATATACTGTACTTATGAAATTATTTAAGGCAAAGCACCAATTTGGGGGGGGGGGGGGGGGGGGGGGGGGGGGGGGTTGAGAACTATCCAAGATTTTTGTATGTGTGTGTGTATTAAATCATTAATATTTTGATCTCAAAATCAATAGGGGTCTTTTAAGGTCATAAAATATTTCACATAAAATTTCATTACAAAAGCAGATTCCAGTGGATTTCCTTGTTACCTAGCTGGAAAGTTTCTTCAATAATAGGCAAAACTCTTAAGGCAAAAATAAAGGAATCGGAATTTCCTGGTAATATGCACATCTAGACATTGTGTGCTAAATATCTGCAAAGTTTGACCAAATTCTGTCCAGCGGTTTAAGAGGAGTTGCGCAGACAAACTGTTCATCTCTATATTCAAGATATGGCCAAAAATCTAAGTTGAAAAGTGCCAAAATTCCCAGAAAAAATAACGGAATCGGAATTTCCTGGTAATATGCACATCTACACATTGTGTGCTAAATATCTGCAAAGTCTGATGAATTCTGTGCAGCGGTTTATGAGGAGTTGCGCTGACAAACTGTTCACCTCTATATTCAAGATATGGCCAAAAATCTAAGTTGAAAAGTGCCAAAATTCCCAGAAAAAATAAAGGAATTGGAATGTCCTGGTAATATGCACATCTACACATTTTGTCCTAAATATCTGCAAAGTTTGACAAAATTCTGTGCAGTGGTTTATGAGGAGTTGCACTGACAAAAAAACAGGACTGACACACTGACTGACTGACTGACGGATGGGTCAAAAACATTATACCTCACGCAACTTGTTGCGTGGGGTATAAAAACACTCTTTAGTATGCAAGGGTGGAAAGAAAAATTGGCTTGCTTAAAGTGCTTACCTTGATGGAAACTTCAAAATTCCATACTCCAGGGCCAATGCAAGGATTCTCCGGACCTGTGTCAATAGGCGGCTTGCCCTGTCAGTGCTAGACAAATCCATTCTTAATACCAATACACAGAAAGTCTAAGGTGGTCACTGCCTAAGAATGTCACTTTTGCACGCAACTTTCACGTTTGGGAGCACAGTGCAGCTCATAGTACAAATAATGGCCTGGGAGAATCCATAAAGGTCTTATGTGCTGGTGTGGGTGCCCCCATCCCAGGAGGGGGGGGGGGGGGGGGTTAGTCAATCTCTGAAAAATATTCAAAATAATTATGAAAGGCAAAAAATATATCAGAAATCAAAAAAATATAGAAATACTAGAGTAATCAAATGAAAAAAGCTGTATAAACTTTGTGAACAGCATCAGGAGGAAGTAAACTACAGAAAAAATATGATGTTTTCAAAGTCATTTAAAGACCAAAAATCTCATAAGTTAAGCAAAAAAAAATGAGCACAGCTATTCAAAACCCCTAATTAAATGAATTAAAATTTACATGTAAAATATAATTACATAAAATGCACCAGGGCATGTGTGACTTGCTGCACAGCCCTTGCAAATGGCAGTGAATCCTCACCTGGTTGAGTGGGACTCTACTACCAGGTGCTGGGAGTTCACTCAAAGCTTGTTGTGACATAAGTGGCTGCACTCGACATTGTTACGTGGAAACTGACTCCGTGTCAGTTTCCATTCTGCCATAAGGGCAACTCTGTGAGCCTTTTTAACCTTTCTACCCTCCTCTGGCCAGTAAACAGTTTGTAACCCATAGCCAGAGGAGGAAATCCTACCCCTCCAATACACACAGGTGTCCCTCTGGGGGCCGCACTCACTTTTAAGATTTAACTTTTCTTTTAAATTATCAAAAAATGCATCCATTTTATAATCAAAATGACAAATGGTGCTAAACATGCACTATTTTCTTACACTTACCTGATAAACTGGTTCTTGCCCCCTCTGTATAGGACAAACATCACCAAATGTTTTCCCATGGACTTCCATACTAATTCCAATCACTGTCACTTATTTATATAATCAATATTCAAAAAATCAGTCACTGTGAAGCATAGTTCAACACCTCTTCTTCAAAACTTCACCACAAAAAATATATCGTGTCGTTGTTTTTCCTTTAAATTTTGGCCTGTTTACAACTGGTATAGATCCGCACTGAATGATATTGTCCAGCAAAATATCACCTCTCATCTCAAGTCTTCCTTTATAAGTCCTATATCTTTTTACACATTCTGTTAAGTCACATCTCATTTTTATCACTTATATTTCACTGTCAAATTCCACCACAAAGATTTTCTGTTAATGACTAAGCAGGACTCCTGTCAGCTTTTCTTCTCCGCACAACTTTGGGTGTCCAAATGGCGGCCCCCTGTACCTAGGCAATTCTGGTGTTTTTCCACCTGCACACTCAAAATGCAACTACACAAAAGGGAAGATCTCATCCTCACAACCAATGACATTCTTTGAGTATTCCTCCTTCTGGTAGACACAAATAACTTCCTTTCTTCGATCCTGACCAATATCATTTGCTGGCAATGCAGCAGTCAATACTTGCTCCTGGAGAGGAATATAGCTTTCCAAAATTAAGTTCTGGCAGAATGGAACTTTAAAAAACATCTCCCATTTTCTAGTAATATCTTCACACAGAGTGGTGTTCCTTGCAACATACTCTTTTGACAAACATGTCTTCAGTAGTCCAAACAACAAAGTCATAGAATTCTTTCCCGGTCACAAGCAGCTGCCATGTACCTGTTAATAGTATTGTTGAGTCCTCCAACTCAGCTCCAAGTTACTGTTCACAGATTGAAGGCAGTCTATCGAACCACTTATCTCAGAATCCCGTTTGCAATATGGATGCTTAATTTCAATAAGGAATTCCCTGCAACAATCACAACTACCAATCCCATCTAGACTTGCTCCAATATATGGGTGTTGCCTGCTGATTACAAAACCCACATCCTTTACTTCAAAATTTGTGAGCATCTTGGCCATTTTGGTTGCATATTTAATAACAGTGTGCCTTTTTCTCATGTTCCTAGCCTCACTGTGTTGCCTTTGAAGAAAACGTCTTGCTTAACCAGGATTTTGGATGGATTTTCTATAGAAGTTCTGCATGCTCTTTTAACACAAGTAAGTCCTAAAGTGACCCGACTGTTTGCAGCTTTCTTGCTCTCTGGTTACAACTTCACAGTTTACAGCTTCTTATTCTGACACATTGATTTATGAGAATGCATCCTCACAATGTTTTAACAACAAATCTTTTTGAAGCAATCCACAGTCCTTGTTGTACAGTTCTGAAAGCACTGTTGGGTATTTCTAATCTTAACACTGGCTTCAATGGCAAAAAATACAGAGCACCAACATGTGAACACACCTCCCAATACCTGTCAAAGATAAAACAAAATAATTTATTCCATCAATCATAAAACCTTAGAATATACTTTCTATTAGAAATTATTATGAGAAAAAATCATTATAATGAGGAAAATATACACCATTCATCATGCTTATGATGAAAAATAACAAAAGGCCCAGGGGCCACATTGCTCATCTGAGCACATTGGCTAGGAAAAAGTAAAAATCAGTTCAGTATTGAAAAGTTTACATAAGGGGGCTGGGGGTGGATTTTAAACTATCTGAGGATGCTTCCATATCAATATAACAAATGGCTTTTCTGATCCTCATCAGAAGATTTTTAAAGATTAAAGTAAAAATCAGTTCAGTATTGAAAAGTTTACATAAGGGGGCTGGGGGTGGATTTTAAACTATCTGAGGATGCTTCCATATCAATATAA